CGGCCGTTTCGGTCACCAAGGTGGACATGATGGCGATCAAGTCGGCCAAGGACGATTGGAAGGTCTAGGGAAGATACTGTATATGTTGACGGACGGACGAATGAGGAAAGATGTTGGAGGACGAGAAGGAAGGGGGGACGGGCTGGGTTCGCAAGAGCTTGGTCTTCATATCTTTGCGCCAAGTACGGAAAGTTGAGCTGCGCCAAGCATGGAAAGCCGCGTTGCACCAAGTGCGGAAGGACAAGGCTGAGTCGTTCCGCAAAGACCTCTCCGTCGTCACACGGCGTCCTTCTATACAGTCACGCTGCAAATAAGCTTTTCGAGCAACGCTGGCAAGTGAAATGAAGGAGGCTGCGAATCTTAATTGCTCAGCTTCTGCACTCGTTGGGGGGTTGCTCCAGCGCATAGGATGTACGTCAAGGTTCTGCGTTAGCGCATGTGCTTAGGGGGTCAGGGTGGACAAGTCAGTCCACAGCTTCGGCAGCTGGGCTGCGATCAACAAGGCGACTCCGAGCACTGCACAGCCAGCGTCCTTGCAGCCATCTTAGCTCCTTGAATCACACAACACCCTCTCGCACAATTAGCTAGCGTGAGTTCAGCATTCATGAGAGCATTGCAAAGAAGGCCCGGGTAGCGTTATTGTACATCAGAAGACGAGAGCATGAGACATGAGAGATCGTAACCAGGAAACTTAGAGCTTCTTCTCGTCATCCGGCGAGTGGGTACGGGGGTAGTTGCGGTCGCCGACGTGCTCGATGCTGTCCTCGTCGTAGACGTCGGTGTGGTTTGCACGTCTGGCGTCCTTCTCGAGCTGGTCGCCATCCTGCTTGCCCGCACCAGGGATGGTAGCTGGCAGCGCCTTCTCGAACTCGGCGCCCCTGAACTCCCAGCCGAAAGTGACGACGATCAGCAGATAAGCGCAGACGGTGCCGAGGAGGATGGCCGAAACACGGGCGTAGGCAGGGATGAACTCCTCGACCGAAGCAGGCGAGCCAGGGTGCCACCTGGGGTTGCGGTCCTTGAGGTTGTCTCCTCCCGTCGCCTCGATCTGGGACGAGGCCGAGGAGGCAGCGTTTCCGAGCTGGTAAGCCAGACCGGCGTAGGTGGCACGGAAGGCAGGAGGCGCAATCTCGGACAGGTAGATGGGCACCACACCCCAGGCACCCTGCACACCGAACTGGAGGAAGAACGCACCGGCTGCCAGACCACCGAAGCTGTGAGGCAGGATCCAGGCGGGGATGAGGGCACCAGTGATAAGGACGAAGAGGATGATGGTGAGGCGTCGACCGAGGTACTGCGAGAGGTAGCCTGCCACGAAACCGCCGGTGATGGCACCGCAGTTGGAGATGATGGTGGCCAGAGAAGCCTGATGCGCCGTCATGAGCTTGGATTTTTGAAGGATGGTCGGGTACAGGTCCTGGCTCGAGTGGGAGAGGAAGTTGAAGCCGGTCATGAGCAGGATGCCGTAGGTGCAGCGCAGCCAGTGGGTCTTGAGCATCTCCTTCATCTCGGTCAAGAAGACCTTGGCCTTGCTCTTTCCGATGGCGCCGGAAGCATCTCGCTGCGCCTTCTGGCGGAGGAAGAGCTCAGACTCGGGGAGGAGCAGGCGAACGAGGGCTGCAAGAGCAGAGAGACCAGCACCGAGGAAGAAGAGGATCCTCCAGTTGTGCGTCTTCTGAACCCAGCTCAGGTTGACCGAGGCGGCCAAAAGGTAGCCTACAGCATAGCCCTGCTGCAGGATACCACTGAAAAGACCTCTGGGAGCAGCAGGCATGTTTTCTAGGGCGACGGCAGTTGCCTGGCCCCAGACACCGCCCATCAGGCACCCAAAGATTGAACGAAGAGCAAGGAACTGTGGGTATGTCTGCACAAAGCCCGAGCCGAGGGAGAGAGCCGAGATGAGGAGAAGGTTGATCACGAGTGGGTACTTGCGGCCGTAGCGGTCCGAGAGGACACCGAAGATGGCAGCGCCTACTGAGCGGAAGAGAAGCGTGAGAGTGATGGCGGTGGTGATGTCGTGTACGTTCCTGTTGAACTGGTTGGAGAGGGCAGTGACGGAGAGAGAGACAGCGAAAAAGTCCCACGCATCCATGGTCCAAGCGAACCAGCCAGAGAAGAACATGAGTGCCTGGAGCGGGGTGAGCATCATGGCGAGCTTGATGGGGTTGAGAGGGGCGCCATTGCGTTCGATCCTTCGCTGCTCCTTGGAGGGCAGCTTGAAGAGGCCATGGGTAGGGTCGATCATGGTCGGTGTTCGGTGTGACGCGGTGGAAAGGGAAGAAATCAAGCTTGAATGAAGGGGACTAGCGCCTGGTTGCCAGTGTGCGGTGGATTCCTCCGAGACGTGGCAGTGACAGGAAAGGATGGAAGCGAGGACGGAGGGAGGATGAATGGATGAGGATGTGGGGAGAACAGAGGATGGGGAGGCAGTCTTTATACCCGACACGCTCGAGCAAGAGTGATTTACATCGTCGTCCTCGCGTCGCGAGAACGGGTCTGTACTGCAGTACAGCTGCAGCCAGGTCGACCTCACTCAGCTACAAAGCGACTTTCGATGCGTGGGACAAAAGGGTCGAAGTCGCGCAGAACAAAAAAGTTGGGTGCGGAGAAAGCGCAGGACAGGGAGCCAATCAAAGTCCGGAAGGCGCAGAGGGAGAATAGGAGTACAGATCGTTGCAACAGCAGGCATCAGTAGTACAGACCACTCCGCTCGAGGCAAACCCACACACACACACACAAATGCTGCTGCAGTGCGAGCCTAGCGTGGGGTCGTTGCGCAGCGAGGCGTACGAACAGTCGTTGGTTGGCGTTCGCTAAGTGACAGCGGTGGGCACCGGCAAATTTGGTTTTGCAGACAAAAAAAAAAGGATCGAAGCGGGGTCGAGCTGTGACACTGGGATTCCGCCGTTCAGTGAGTGGGTCGCACGAGGATTTGCGCGGTTGCGGTGTCAGATGTGAGGAACGGCTTCCCTTGGTTAGCTCAGTCTGAACCGCCGCGCCGCAGGTTGGATTTTTGTTTTTCTCCTTTTTCCAGTTGAGAGTCACGCGGTTGCTGGTAATTTCCTCTTGCCGCAATCCATAGTCCGTCCCGCCGCCTCAATTGCCGCGCGGCTCAGTCAAAGCACGAGCAACGGTGCATGTGCAGCATCGTGCTGTCTTGTCAAACCCTCAAGTTGCATGGTAACCAAGCATCGATGTCAGCGACATCGTCACCACGGAGATTAGAAGCAGCGATCCAGGTCGGTAAGAGAGATGGGGTTGCGAAGCTCCAGTCAGCATGCTGAGCGATGCCGCAAGATACGTGGCACTTGGATTGTTGATTCGGCTGCATGTCAGAGGAAAACGAGAGCGAGCCAATCAGGAGGCTTGGAATGGCATGCAGAAGACGGCCTCTCGCCTGTCGATGCAGCTTTGCTCGCAGCTCGCGGCAGGGCGCCTGTCTGCGCTCTCCTTTCTGCCTCTCTGTCTCAGCTGAGTCAGGTCCACATCGGTCAGCTCTCGCTGGATTTCCCCACTTGATTTGAATTTCGCCGGTTGCAAGACCCTCTGTTTTTTTTTTTTTTTTTTTTGTTGAGACTCCGCCTTGTTGAGTCGCGCGGTGGTAATTCAGAGGGCTGCCGTCGGTCTCGCCAATCTGCCGCGGCGCACCATGACTCGGTTTTGAGGCTCCTCTTCGGCTTTTTGATCCGATGCAGGTGTTGGCTGCGGTGGGATGCCTTTCGCTGCTCTGTCCGGATTTTAAAATTCCCGTTTGGGGTCCCGTCTCGCTTATCTCGGCTCTCTTGTCGCGATGCGACTCGATAGGCGTTTGTCGAACCACGCGTTCGGATCATTCCGAATCACTCGCGCTCAAGGCCGACACGCATGATAGCGGAGGGCTTCTGTGTGCCTGGTGCACCGTCGTTGACCGACCTTGGAGCGACTCTGCATGCAGCTCGCTCGGAAGGCCACGGAGCAAGTCAAACTGTGGCAAGCATCTTTCCGTGTAGCAGCTGTCGCATTCTTCGCCACCCGAGCTGGGAGAAGCCACTCAGAATGTGGGGCCCTCCGCATTCATCGTCCGAACCCCGGATCCTCCCGCATCCCTGCGCCCACCATCTTACGCTTACCCCACCGAAACGAGTTGGGGTCAGCCAATCAGAACCTGCTTCCGTTCTTTGGTCGACATTTGCGAGTGACCTTCTGCATCGACTTGCATTCATACACTCCATGGTCCCACCGCAGAGTTGCATCGTGGAGGCGTTTGTGTGCAGATACGTTCTGTCTCTATCTCTCCTGAGGCGCAACCGCGTCTGGTTTTGAAGGCCTCGAGCCGCTGCAAAAGCGGGACAAGGTTGCAAAATGCCGTTCCTTTTCTCACATCACGATCGTAGGTCAAGTTTTATGTTTCGTAGTGCACAAGCCGGCCTTCTGGTTTGCAGTGCATGCTTTCATGTTATCGTGCTTAGCTGGTTCGTTTGCAAGGCATGCGCTTTGCAAGCAACTAGCTGCTCTGGGGCGGCCTTCCTGCAGCAATGCTTTTGCACTCTCCGATACTTCATCTCGTGACTCGCACCCACATTCTGAGAGGATCAAGTTGGCTCGTGTCTTCCACGTAAGCAGGCAGCGTGGCATAAATGACCGGTAGCGGAGCATCTTTCTCCGCACTGCACGCTGTCGCTTGCCCACGGCCGACCGGGATGCCACGAGACACGCTAGTCTCCTGCTCCACACCGGAACAATGGGCCGGAGAGCAAACAACCCCAGATGTCTCCGCATATTCGCCGACGTCTAAAACAGGAAACAGAAACTTCGTTAAGCGAAATCGACGCGCCCACGCCATGCCACCGATCCCTTCCCTCCTCCCCCGCAACCCTTTGCCGTATCCGACGGTTGATACCGTTGCAAGATGAGTCATCGTATTTCAATTGCCGTAATGATGTCAGCTCCAATGACAGTCAATGGCCAAATGTGGCCGGCGATGACCAAGTGCAAAAGCGGGGAAAAAAAACCGCAAAAAGAGAGTCCTACGGGGATTGAACCCGCGACCTGCAGAATTCCACGCCTTGACGGAGTGAAGCTTCAGAATTGGAACCGAAGTCTGCCGCTCTACTGCTGAGCTAAAGACCCCTGACTACCTGAATGCATGTTTTGTACATATATATAGTACAATGCTCTCAGGTGTCGAGAGGCACGCGTTTCTTGCGGTCGATCGACCCTCTCGAACAGCTGTCGGCAAGGCCACGGCTTTGCGCAGACTTGCCATCGCGCAATGTGGAATGCATGTCTCCAACAGCAGTGTGCGGGAGCTTCGCGGTGGCTAATCAACAGCCGTACCTCAAGGAGCAGCGTCTGTAGCTCATCGGTCGACTGCATCGCGAAAAGGTGACGGATACGGCGCTCAAAGCCAAACGCCAGAACCTTTATCATACTGTGCGCACGTTGCGCGCGTTCAACGCAGCGCAGACTGGCAAGCTCGAGCGATGTCGCGCCGAAGCGGCGGCCACCAAGGCACGCCATGTGCAGTGGGAGGCGGATCTCAACAACAAGCTCAAGGCGTACCGCGAGGGGCCCAAGGCGAGGACCACCGAGGCGCTACAATCGCCTTGGATGGTGGTCAAAGGAGCCAACGCTGACGTCGAGGTGACCTTTCAAGGTGTCGAGACCACCGACTCGAAGAACCTCAAGAAAGGCCAGACCACCCCGGGGAGAGTCGCTTGTCTACTACGGTTGGTGTGCCTCGAGGGATCCGGGATCGACACCCCGTGGTGTGCATCCTCGACTTTGCCTCTGATTCTGCCACTTGCCAACCGAGGAAAGCAGCTGGTGCACCCCAAAATCGAGCTTCTCGCCATCCCTAGCATTTTGTCAACCCCGGTAGAGCGACGCATGGTCAGCATCGGCGACAACCACCGCTTCGTAAACACCGCCAGGACGACCAAGTCGTTTATGTGATTACGTACACGTTCACGGTCGAGCCTGACAGTTGGATGACACCCCGCTCTCCTCTCATCAGCTCGGGAGTTTCTGAACCCGGGATCTTTCTCCTCTTGGACTCGCTGCTCGACATCCCTGCCAAAGGCCGTCTCGGCATCGTGGAGAGGATGAGGCAGGAGAGTAAAATGTGTGTGCACATAGCAGACGCTCGACGGGAGGCTGTTGAGTCGTGTTTCGACGTCTGTGTTTCGGCAGCGCCAATGCGGGAGCTTGCGTGCAGAGGCACTCGAAGCGCGTCCACGCAAACGATGTGCAGCTGACGACAAGCGGGGTTGTGCGCGTGCCGGCTTGAGCGCATGTCGTGCTGTCGACCGGGCTGGGGGCACTCGAACTCCAACCGCGTTCAGGGTCTGCGTGGAAAGCGTGCCGAAGCTGGACGGATAACGTCCATTCACCGCGCGCTGCACACTGCCGTACTGCACACGCAATGCGATCTCTGCGCACCACCCGACGCTGGGGCCATTGCTCGACTGCTAGGGAGCGAGGCTTGCGAGTCTACGTCTCTCTCCGCGTACGACATGCAGCACCGACGTCGAGACACGATTCAACACGCTTCCCTTGATCCCACCGAAGCTGGGCGGAAGACGTCGACACACCGTGCGTAGCATACGACCCTACACGCCAATGGATCTCTACGCACCACGCACGTCGGGAGCATCGTCCAACCCAATAGCAGTCCACAATCGTCTCGCGTCCGACAAGCAACACAGGCCGGGAGGATCGCCCCGCGAAGCTTGGCTCGAGATTCTGCGACAGGGACCCAAGACCCTGATTGTTGAATTTCAAGCATGTCGTCTCGCCGTCCTTCTCATGCCCTCCAGGTACGGGGCATCGATCACACTTCCACACACGCCTTCAGCTCGACACGTTCTTTTTGATTCACACGGTTCGAATCTACACTGTCCGAAACTTAAGCCTGAGCGTCGGCAGGAGCCCCGCCGATCTTGTTCTCGTTGGGCAGCGGCTTGTTGGCCGGGAAGGCGAGCACCTCCTTGATGGAATTCGAGTCGGTGAGGAACATGACGAGACGGTCGATGCCGAGGCCCCAACCGCCCGTGGGGGGCAGGCCGTGCTCGAGCGCGTCGATGAAGACATGGTCGATGCCCTGGGCCTCGTCGTCGCCCTGGTCCTTCTGGCGGCTCTGCTCCTCAAAGTTGGCGCGCTGCACCCAGGGGTCGTTGAGCTCCGTATAGGCGTTGCAGATCTCCTTGGTGGCCACAAACACCTCGAAGCGCTCGCACAGGCCGGGGATGTCGCGGTGGCGCTTGGCGAGGGGCGACATGACCTGCGGGTGGCCGACGATGAACGACGGGTTGATGCACTGGGTCTCGATGAACTCGCCGGTCATCTTGTCGATGAGGCGCGACGAGGTGCGCGGCTCGGAGCAGTCGACGTTGTGCTTGGCGGCCAAGTCCGAAAGCCACTTGCGCGTCTCCTCGGTGTGCAGCTGGTCGGCGGGCGGGAAGGTGACGTTCATCTTGGCCTCGAGCTCCTTGATCATGTCGAAGCGCTTCCAGGGGGTGGAAAAGTCGATCTCGTACTCGCGAGCGCCGTCGACGTCCTTGGCGTCCGGGTGATACTTGATCTTGTACGAGCCGGTGACGGCCTTGACGAGGCCCGAGATCATGGACTCGGTGATGTCCATGAGGTCGTACATGTCGGCGTAGGCCATGTAGAACTCGCAGATGGAGAACTCGGGGTTGTGGGTCTGGTCGATGGACTCGTTGCGGAAGACGCGGCCGATCTCGTAGACACGGTCGAGGCCGCCGACGACGAGCTCCTTGAGGAAGAGCTCGGGGGCGATGCGCATAAAGAGGTCGAGCTTGAGGTCGTTGTGGTAGGTGACAAAGGGCTTGGCGGTGGCGCCGCCGGCGATCTGGTTCATCATGGGCGTCTCGACCTCGAGGAAGCCGAGGTTGTCGAGGAAGCGGCGCACGTAGTTGATGATCTTGGCGCGCTTGACGAAAATGTCGCGCACGTGGTTGTTCATGATCAAGTCGAGGTAGCGCTTGCGGTGACGCTGCTCGGTGTCGGTGAAGCCGCCCTTGTCGCCCTGGGACGCCTTGGGGAGCATCTTGAGGTTGGGCGAGAGGAGCTGGATGGCGCGCGGGAAGATGGAGAGCTCGCCCTTCTTGGTCTTGCCGGGCACGCCGGTGACGCCGACAATGTCGCCGCGACGGAGGAGGTCGTGGATGGCGAAAAAGTCGCCGTCGGTGTGGTCCTGGAGCTGTGCGGTGATCTGGACCTTGACGCCCTCGCCGTGGAGGTCGTAGAAGCGGAGCTTCTGTCCGGCGGAGCGCATGTTGTGGAGGCGACCGGCGATGCTGACCTGCTCGTTGTCGAGGTGCTGTCCAGCCTCGAGCTTGCCCTCGTACTTGGAGATGAACTCGGAGAGCGAGATGGAGACGTGGAACTTGTGCGGGTACGGGTCGGGGTTCTTGGATTCGCGGAGGGCGGCGATGGTGCGGAATCGACGCTCGTAGTACTGGTTGGGGTTGAGGTCCTCCTCGGCGGCGGCGGCGGCGGACTTGGCGGCGGCACCAGCGCCGGCAGCCTGTGCAGGAGCCTCGGCGACCTTGGAAGCCTTCTTGGCCTCCTTCTCGCGCTGCTTCATGCGACGCTTGAGCTCGGACTTGGAGACCATCTCTCCGGTGACGTCATCCTTGACGAGGTTGACGGCGTCGGCAGCAGCAACGGTGGCGGCGGCGGCGGGCTGGTTGGTGGCGTCGGTGGAAGACATGGTGCGGAGTGGGATGCGCTTCGAGGGGGAAGGTGGAGGTGGGAAAGCGAGTGGAAGAAGCTGGCGGTGAGCTTTGTGGCAAGTCGAAGGCAGGGATCTGGGAGCGAGTGTGAGGGATCGAGTGAATGCCTTGAACATGCAAAGCCAGAACGATGGCAAGGTGTCAAGAGCCAGATGGTCTATTGGGGTTGCGATCGACGACGACGACGATGATGGTGTCGAGAGAAGAAGAGAAGAAGAGCGCTGTTGGATAACGACAAAGCGCAGCGCACGAAGGGGAAAAAAAGCTGCAATACATTTTCGTTTCAAGTGCGGAGCGCGTGACTTGGTATTCGAAGAAAAGATTTCATTTCAGTTGACTCGACTTGAATGGGTGAAAGATCTAACAGCTGGATGCATTTTCGAAGGCTTCGCTCTTCTGGAATGTCGACAAGCATAGGCTCACTTGGCTCAAAGTTGCAGCGAGTATACATCCAAGGCTTTGGAGATCAGGCGGAAGGATCACCAATCGGGTCCTATTTGCATGTCAGGGTGGAACGAGCTTCAATCCTGAGCTTCCAACGAGATCCTCACTCAATGACAAGGAACTCGTCCAAGCTGAGAGGCTGTTGGACGTCCCCCTCATCATCGATGGGCTGGCTGCTGCTCATGTCGACTCATCACTTTCCTAAAAGCGCTCGACGCCCGATCTTTCGCCGAGACGCTCGACTCGCTCACACCAAGCTCATCTTGGATTCGCTGCAAACTTCCGCCTAAGAGAGCGAGATGCGCAATCCGACGGACGTGGGCGAAGAGCGGAGCTTGTTCTTGTCGCACCTAGGCACGAGTTCGCGCACTCGACCACGCGAATCCTCCAGCGGACGAGCATGAGTCTATGTGGGGAAAGCGTCCTGGACCCGAGTGCCAGTGGCAGTGACAGCAGCGCAACGGCGGTCGAGAGTCGAAACGCGCGCTTATGATGCTGGCGTATCGCGCTAAACGAGTGTTAAATTTGGAAAACACCGATTTAGGGTCGGACAGTGCTCAAGTGCCGCGTGTGAAATTGCGGAAGAAAGCTGCAAAAAACGTGTCATGCCTTTCGGGTCAGCCTACGGGGGAGAGTGCAGCGGTTCGGCTATCTTTCTCAGGTGGCGTGCACGTCCTCGCTCTTGTCGCAACTATATCAACCACCGCTGTCTGTGTCGGCCCCTCCGTGCCATCACCACACATCGCTTCTCAATACCAATGGCAGCACGAACGCCAGCCAGAGAGGCAGCCGCTGCCAAGATGGCCACGCTCGCCTCGTCCGCCTCTCCCAAACGCACTTCTTCGCTCAGCTCGGCAGACGAATCGCTGCTCATCACCGCACTCAAGATGCTCGCCACCTTCGACAACGCCAAGAACGCCGTGTTTG